GGAGCTGTGGGCAGCAGTGGGGGGTGATGGAGGGAGCTGAGGGGTCTGTGAGGACTGAGACTTGGTCAGTGGTGCTGGGTGTGAGCATACCGGGACAGGACTCGAGGTTAATGGCTTGACTTGGGAAGAGTCAGTTCCTGGGGGTGCAGAGGATGGGGTGCCTTTGAGAGGCAACTCGGGTGTTCTCTGTTGGGCCTGTGAGGTCTCGGGGCCTGTGGGCTCCCCTCGGGGGGGTGGCATCGATCTGGGTCCCAGCTGTCGACTGGGTCTGGACACCTGTCTGTTGTCTTAGGCATGGAGATGGGGTTTCGGGGAGGACATGGAGGGACTTCAGGGTCCTTGGCTCTTCCTGGTGGTCAGAGGCAGTTCACTGAGTGACTCTTGTCCCTTGCAGTAAGTACCACAGGCCAGGACGTGGTTCTGAGCTGAACTGTACTAGGTCGCATTAGAGTGGTCAGCCTCCTGGGGACGCATTTGACTTCTGGAGCCTCTGCCCCCTCTTGTGTCCGCTGGGAGGCCTGGCAGGCAGCTGTCTCCCTTCCACCCCATCCCCAGGGCTCTGTTTGACCTCTGATGCTGCCTGGCCCCCACTAGCCTGTAATATCACCGTGCCCCCTGAGCCCCCGCTTTGCTAGGGTCCCCAGTGCCAGCACGGAGAGCGTCAGCTGGTCAGCTTCCTGGAGGTGAGGGAGTGACTGAGTCTTGCCCGGCCCCTCCTCTGTCAGCCCCACAGCCCCTTGAGACGTAGAGGAGCCGGCATAGGGCAGGCCGTGCACAGGCGACGTGCATGCGGACACATGCATGCGGGTATGTGCGCACGTGTGGGTGTTTCTGCGTGGCCTCCGTCTGATGCCCGACTGTCTTTGTCTCCTCGTGCCGCTGTCACCGATGCCACCGCGGAAGGCTGTAGCTGTCTATTCTCGTAGATTCGGAAGGTTGGGTGTTGAGTCCCATTGGGCTGAACCAGCTCCCACGTGACCCTGCAGCAGGTTTTTAGAGTCTCACAGGGGGAGAAGCCTGTCTGTCTTCTGAGAAGCAGCTGGTGGTTTGACAGGGCAGCTCCTAACCACTAGGCCAGCAGAGCCCCCCTTTCAGGAGCTGAGAAGCCTGAAGGTGCGGTGTGGGTTCAAGTGGCGAGCTCTTTCTCTGGGGAAGGTCTGTGTCCGTGCGGCGGTCTCTGTGTGGCCTGCCATCTGTCCACCCATCTCCGCTTGCCTCTGCGGCCTCCTCAGCTCACTCATCTCCAAGATTGGAGTCACTGCTTTGTGGCCTCAGTTTCCCTAAGAGAGACCCAAACGAGGCAATTCTCATTTAGAGGGCGTCCCCCTCGGGGGAGGAGGAGGTGGAGATATTATAAAGGGCCTTGGTGGTCCAGTGGTTAAAACCTTCAATAGCTAGCCGAGAGGTCGGTGGGTCACGTCCCCCAGCCTCCGTGGAAGGAGCTGCGTTGGTCTGCTTCCTTATAGCTCTGCCGCCGTGGACGGCCAGTTGGGGGCACTTTTGCACTGTCCTCCAGAGCTGCCGGGAGCAGAATTAACCCAGTGACAGTGTTTACAGGGGATTTCTTTTTTTAAAAAATAGTGATTGGAGGGAGCTCTGGTGGCCTAGTGGCAAGAAGCTGCACTGCAATCCCAGAGGTACGTGGTTCAAATCCACCAGATGCTCTGCTGGAGAAGGAGGGGCAATCTCCTCCTCTACCAGTCAGTACAAACACACGCACAAAATAATTGTTTAAAAAAATGTGATTGGAGTGAAAGTAGCCAGAGCAGATTTTGTTTTCCAGTCACCGTTCTGAGTGTTTTGTTTTATGACACTAATTACATTAGGGAACTTGGGGTGGCCTTATGGGTAAGGAGTCGTGCTGCCAACAGCAGGTGGGTCAAATCCACCACCTTCTAGGGAGAAATATGGCCAGCCTCCTCCCTGCGATTTGCAGCCTCTGAAAACCTGTTGGATCAGCTCGCTGTGGGTCGGTTCCCACAGGGCGCAGTCCCGTTACAGTGGCCACATTGTGAGGCTCTCTGGCCGCCGCCTCCCAGTGACTCGCATTTCCATCCAGCCTTCTGTCCAGCCCCTGTTGGCGGCTCTT